ATATAATTTAGATGGAAAATACTGATGTTTATTTTTAAGCATTTTTTTAGACTTTCATCAATTAATTTTCACGGTTGTGAGAAATTATGGGGAGGTCAGACAATTATCTAATGCCAGTCGACACGGAGATTCAAAAAGTGAAAGCTGTATAGATGGTTAAAACACAAATTTTCACCACCACATGCCAAAATACAGAAAGACAGCAGCCTTAAGTCAACACATAATACCTGCTTTTACTAGTCATTCGCTAGTCATTTGTAAGAAGCTTAATTCAGAAGTCTAAATCACTGGCTTTTGCCTCTAATAAATTCTCAAGCAGCATTTGTCTTACTTTGCCCCTCTGCCAATTTCAGTTATTAGCAATGGAAATATTTTTTGTAGGGTTGTGCGTCTGGTGAAATTGCCATTTACCAACAAAAATCTAATCCTCCCAAGGCTCTGACTGTAAAGAATGTAGAGATTTTCATATCATGCCATGATCCTAGGCACGAAAGGGGGTAGGCCAGGTCTGGATGGGGACAGACCTCTTCTGGCTGTGGTGAATAAAGGGATCTGATGGGCAGTAGGAGGTGCTGGGCTGCTGGAAACCTCACATCCTGCCATCCTGTTTATAGTTAACGCCCAAGACTTGGGCTGTTAACCGCTGTCTTCGCCAGTTTCCAACAAGCCCATTTCCGTCCCACCATTTCCTCCTGTGGTTTCACAGGGAGAGACTACTCTCTACTACTCGTCACTACTTGTGTTGTTGCTGTGCACTCATTGAGAGGTGGCTGCATTTTGGTGACTTCTGCAAAGCATCCTGGGAGCCACTCAGATGACAGGTGCTGTGAAACGATAAGAGCATATGCCTTGTTTTCTCTGGCTGTCACAGGAGGGAGGGAGTTTTGAAGTTCAGCAGCGAAGAGCAAGCACCCAAACTGCAGACCATGGATTTAAAAAATCAACAGGCTAGTCTTTAGAAAGACAGTAAATGTAAAACCCACGCATATGTTACTACATTCATCCGCCTTTCTCCTGTCCTCCACCTCCCCAAAAAATCTGGGTTGATCGTAGGATCTCAGCCAGAACCTGAGCAAGTGAAATTCCTTAGGGGTTAGTGTAGAACTAGATTGGGTAACCCCCTTCTAGCTCATTGCCTTCCAGATGTTCCTGTAATAAGCGGAGCTGGCTCAGCAGCCCCCGCCCTATCCGTGACAGCCCCCAACAAGCTGGAGTTAGCTGAAGCTCGGGGGGCCTGGGCAGACATAGATAGGAGCATGAATAACCAGCAAGTTCGGTCCTGCACATGGGACCACATCCATTTGTGGGATGCTCCAAACACAGGGTTAGGCCTTCGCTGCAGGCCTAGGGCAGGAGAGGGAGGCAACACTTGGCCAAGCGCAAACACCTGGCACAGCTGCAGCAAGGGCATAGGGCTGGTTGAGGAGGTGGGCCCAGTCCTGCCTCCTTTTAGGAGTTGGATTTAGGACAAGGTTAACCAGGTGGGGCTCACACTGGGTACTGTGAACCCTTCCTTCCACTACTGGGGCTTCCACCCGCAGGAGGGATGTTGGGATCCTTGCCCACTTCCCCTAAGCTTCCAGAAGGCGCTGGCTGCCTCTCACATGGTAATTCCCTCCAGACGCTCCCAGCCTGCACCCATATGAGTCACCAGGCTGCCTTGGTGCATCTCTTTCAGGGTGGATTTGATTTAAATCACAAGTCAGGAAAACTTGATTTAATCATAGATTTCTACACAAAAGTGCATTCTTGTTGGTTGTTATAACCTTAATACATATTCTTCACAACTCAGAGCTAGATGTAGGTTTCATTTTTAGAAGGTACACACGATACATTTTTAAGGGACTTATTTTGAAAACTTTAGATTAGTTTTACAGCTATATCAGAAAATGAATGATTGTTTGGCTATTTCATGTACCAAAGGTAATAGAAGCAGATATTTATGAAGTCATTGGGCGGTGAACTATCTCCAGTTCAACAGGTTAATCATTAATATTTGGAGGATTTTCTTGCCATGCTGTATTAGGAGGAGAACATCACCAGACAGACATTTAAATTGTTTTATTTAACTAAAACAACGTTATGTATTCTGGGTTTTTTTCTTCAACAGCAAACATATAATATTTTAACAAAAAAAGCATATGAATTTTTGAATTTAGTTAAACATTCACGTTTTTTAAAATCAGGTTTGTTTTTGTTAAAATTAGGTTTGTTTTTGTTAAAATTGTTCTTAACTAAAATAGTTTAATTTTTGTTTTTGTGTTTTTAAATATTTCATTTAATAGACTGTGTCAGCCAGGTCAACATGAGAAACTTAAAATATTGGTTTCTGCAGCCAACTCAGTTGTCTTCACCTTTATTTCCTGTTTGTTCATAATCAAAAAGAAAAACAAACTTTCCTGCTTTTTCAGGTCCCAAACGATTTCTCAGTTTGGAATGAATTAGTCCTAAGGAAGAAAATATTCTTTCTACACCAACAGAAGCTACTGCTGTTAAAGTGAGATGATCACTTCAACAGTCTCTGAATCCAAGTGCTTAAGTGACTTACACCAGTTCACTGGTGTGACTTTCTTTAAAACATCATCAGCAAACATTTCTTGAATGGTTCTTATTCCCAAACTGGGCCTCTTTAACGGCCTGCTGCCATTATAGGTTTTCCCCCTTCTAGCGAGAGAATGGTATGGTAGATCTCAAATTAATGAAGGCTACACTCAGAAAGACCTCAAGACTTCTGGAATATGCTGCTCAGTTTCACTTTTGTTTCTATTGCCTGTCCCTCTCTTGCATTTATCTCGACTTCTCCTTGGCCAGATCTATTCCGACCCCAACAATCTTTTATTCATTGAACTTTTTGAAACTTTGCACTTTAAGAGAGAGGTAAGGGATTGACTCCAGTTTTGGGCCCCTCACTTCAAGAAGGATGTGGATAAATTGGAGAGAGTCCAGCGAAGGGCAACCAAAATGATTAGGGGTCTGGAACACATGAGTTATGAGGAGAGGCTGAGGGAGCTGGGATTGTTTAGCCTGCAGAAGAGAAGAATGAAGGGGGATTTGATAGCTGCTTTCAACTACCTGAAAGGGGGTTCCAAAGAGGATGGCTCTAGACTGTTCTCAATGGTAGCAGATGACAGAACGAGGAGTAATGGTCTCAAGCTGCAGTGGGGGAGGTTTAGATTGGATATTAGGAAAAACTTTTTCACTAAGAGGGTGGTGAAACACTGGAATGCGTTACCTAGGGAGGTGGTAGAATCTCCTTCCTTAGAGGTTTTTAAGGTCAGGCTTGACAAAGCCCTGGCTGGGATGATTTAACTGGGAATTGGTCCTGCTTCGAGCAGGGGGTTGGACTAGATGACCTTCTGGGGTCCCTTCCAACCCTTATATTCTATGATTCTATGACTCTGTGTACACAAATTTGCAGAGGAACAATAGGGCTGATGTCTGTTATTTCTCACCTCTATATATTATTTATTTTAAAACAATGTTTGCTGTTAACAAGCATGTTATCTCTGGAGACACAAATCCAGTTTGAGAACTGTAAAATTAAGCATCTCTGATGGCATCTTCTAGACTGAGCACCGAGTCCCATTAGGTAGATAGAAAGAATAACCTGAATAATCTATACAGAAGCCCCTGGAACCTCATAAAATTGGGTCCCTAATCCATGAACTATTGGAACTCATTTACAAAACTGTTCTTAAACATTACATGAATATATTATCTCATACTATAGAAGTTATAATCCCTGTTCCATAATGAGATATATTTGAGCTATAATGTATCTATCTTTAGATAGTTTTTTTCCTCAAAAAGCATTTTATCAAAAACATACAATTTAAATAAAAAAAATCTGATTTTTTTTTTTTATTTTTAAATCATTGATTTTTATCCACCTGGATTTCTTTGCCTGGTGCTGCTTCCTCTGTACCTTCCCCACCCACTGTGCCCAGCGGGTAGCTGAGTCTCAGGGTGTCCCTACAGCTGGCTACGCCCTGCGAGAGCACAGATCAGCAGGTGACTTAGTGCTGGCACAAACAATAGCAGGAAGGAACGAGATCCTGGTTCCCAGACTCATACCATTCCCTCCCCAAACCCTTCCCATGCTTTCCAGGCCCCTCCCCCACAAACCCTCCCTCTGCCCTTCCCGCCCTCCCACGCCCCCAGTCCTGCCAGTTTCCCCCATGTCCCCCAAACTCTGCCAATGCCTTCCAGCCCCCTCCCGCACAAACCTTCCCTGTGCCCTTCCAGCCCTCCCTCCCGCCAGTCCTGCCAGTTCCCCCCATGTCCCCCGAACTCTGCCAATGCCCTCCCCCACAAACCCTCCCTGTGCCCTTCCAGCCCTCCCCCCCCGAGTCCTGCCAGTTCCCCCCATGTCCCCCGAACCCTGCCAATGCCTTCCCGGCCCCCTCCCCCACAAACCCTCCCTGTGCCCTTCCAGCCCTCCCCCCGCACCCCGAGTCCTGCCAGTTCCCCCCAGATCCCCCGAACCCTGCCAATGCCCTCCCGGCCCCCTCCCCCACAAACCCTCCCTGTGCCCTTCTAGCCCCTCCCCCCCCCCGAGTCCTGCCAGTTCCCCCCAGATCCCCCAAACCCTGCCAATGCCCTCCCCCAAACCCTGCCCAGGCCTTTCCGGCCCACTCGGACCGGCTGCGGGGCCCCCTGGCCAGAGGGACCAGTCACCAGGAAAGCGGCACGATGGGGCCGGGGCCGGGGCCGGGGCCGGGCAGACGCTGGCAGGCAGAGACAAAGGTTATTCCACAGCCACGTGGCTGCGTAGCGGACCCTTCCGTGTTATGGCCTCCGCGCCTTGTGTCTTGATTGGCTCCAGGCGGGCAAAGCTCTGAGGGGATTGGCGCGCCGTTCCGTCATTCCCGTCCACCTAGCTGGCTTCCGATTGGCCGGAGCCTTGTCACGCGCTTCAGTTTCCATGGGGACGCTTGGGGCGGGCTCGCACGCGGAGGGGCGGGACGTGGAGCCCCCCGAGCTCTGATTGTCTGGCTCTCGGCGGCCTGGCTCCTACAATTGGCCGTTCCGACTGGTCAGACCCCGCCCCCCAGGTGAGAGTGGGGACGAGTCACGTGAGGGGAGCGGGTGCCAGGCGGCGGCGGTAGCAGCGGCGGTTGGAGCGGGAGGAACTATGAAGCACTATGAGGTGAGGAGGCGGCGGCGACCGTAGCCCCAGCCCCGCAACGCTCGAACGCAGGGGCCCCCCTCTGCGGGCCCTCACTCAGCCCGGCGGCGAGAGAACCGGTCCCACAGGCTCCGCCCTGAGAAGCGGTGGGCGCCCACTGCGCATGCGCAAGACCAACCAGGTGGCGCTCGTGCGCACGCGTGGGGTGAGTGGGCGGGGGAACATACGCGTAAAGCGCGAAAAATGTGACGGAGAGGTGAGAGTGCGCATGCGCATAACTGATCTCTGGACGAGCAGGCGAAGGGCACATGCGCTCAGTGAAGATGTGGGTGGGAGGGTGAGAGCACGCATGCGCACATGGTGGACAAGGGCCTGGGTGCGCATGAATTGGGTGGATTTATATCGCAAGCAAGGGGGGGGGCTGCTGGGTAGGGGGGCAGATACCCCCCACCTGCCCGTCCTTCCAGACCTGCCTGCCCGTCCTTCCAGACCTGCCTGCCCTTGACTGTTGCAGGTGCCAGCTCCAGCAGCTTGCATGCACGTGCCCCTCTCTGCACGTCCCTTCCCCCAGCAGGGGCATCCCCAGAGTCACCGGGTCGTGCTGGCTCCACCGCTGCCTGAGCAGCCTCTTTTCATTCACTGCCAGCTAACTCACTAACAAGGCACTTGTCGCCCTCGGAACCATCCTCTGCGTGTGCGGAATTTAGTGCTGGCTTGACAACGCTGGGCGCCTCTGTCCCCTGAGCAGGGGCAGAACTGGCAGCCTCAGCGTACCCCCAGTATCTTCCCTGGCCAGTGTAGAGGAGGATTTGGACTCTGTGGCTGTTTCGGGTCTTGTGGACACGTCAGATGGTAACTCACCATCTCTGTTGGGCTGGATTCCTGCTTATGTTCCCTTGAACCATCCGGTGTCTCAACCCTGTGCCCTACCTCCCCTCCGCCCCCTGCAATTAGAAAGGAAGAGGAGTGGGTTTGTGTAATGATTTCAAGTCCAAGCACTGCTGTGGTCTCTAGAAGGAGATTTCTGCTCATGGGGTTATTTCTGGTGAAATGTGAACAGACTTTTACTGTAATTAGCATGAATGCCAAATATCCTATGGCAGTCTTCATAAAAGGTGGGCATGGCCCATTGGCTTTGATCAAAAATTTCCCCTCCCACGGCCAGAAGTGGTTGCATTTCAGTGGTTCTGGATGAATATAGTATAAGTGCTTTGGGGTGTCTTCCTTCCGAATAAAAGCTGCTTATATGAATGTAAAATGATTTTTGTTCTTTCCTTAATTGTTTGAAAGTTCTGAAGTCCTCTGCTTTCAGAGTGATGTTTTTGGAGTGAGTGTGCAGACTACCCACCAACCTAGAAAACTACTTGAGCCTGTAAAGAGAAGCTGCTGAAATCAGCTTGGACAGCTATGGGGAGAGGAGGTCACAGCAATCCTTGCACCTGTCTTGTAAACAGATATATACCCAGATATGCAGGGCTATTAATATTGGCTGTAAGTACAGCTCTCTCAGCAAGTTCAGCAGTTTGCCAAATGCTTCACTTGGCAAACTGTCCAACCAGAATGTTGAATGCAGGGCATGAAGTAGGGGAAGATTTAATAACTCCACATGTGCTCTTTTGATCTGGGAGGAGAATCTGGAGTGCGACAGACTATCCTGCAAACTGAACATTGTACTCCTGACTCTTCCCACCCTCAAGGACAGATGTGTGTGCGTGGACATGCTCTTCCTGATTCGCTGACAAGGTCAGAACTGGTTATCTTATGCAGGTCAGCTCATGTCAGCTGTGGTCTTAACACCATCTATTTACCTCTATTGAAAATGGCAGCTGAACCTTTTATGGCTATTAATGATCCCTGGCAGTTGTACTAATAAGGATACAGGTAGTTGAAAACTGTAGGCACACCTAGGGGTGAGATGACAACCACCTGGTGAAAATTAAAAGCTACATAAAGAGGTGTAGGATTTGTGCTGCTCCTAGCAGTCTGGGCTGCTAGAGGGGACAAAGGTCTGCACCAGTGTGGACAGTTCTTTCTTTGCTTGTCTTACTGCCTTATCATAGCTCTGTGCCCTTTGGATCACCTCCCTGAGCATAGAAAAGGGAAGAACCATTTGTTCCCCAAAGCCTGGGGTTCTGGGATTTCCCTGACAAGGAGGACTCCCCCAAAAGACAGCTGTATTTGCAGTTCAGAAAACAGGTACCTGTGCATCACATTCTGCTCACCCCAAGGAACTAGTTCAGGAATACTGGCTTGTGTCCTCAGACTTTAGATTGTCTCAGTGGGATTGCCACTAAACACCTTTTTATGTGGCTCCCAACCTATGTTAGTGGGCACCACGGAGCCCAGCAAATATGGAAGGGGGACGTGCAGGGACCTTTGGCACATAGTCTTCCAACGGAAGGATTCCACACCAAGGGAGAAATCGCCTGAGGCACCCTCTCTGTCGCTGTATCTCATGTATTTGCAGTGTCAGCCTCTAGTTTCTAAGCCCTGATTTTACTCCCACCACGGAGGAGTTGGGAGAAATCTTGGAAAGGCTGCTTGGATTGGGTGTGGCGTGTGATCTGACTAATCGGACCAGAGCCTCTAAAGATACCGCGGGAGCTCCTCATTGCTCTGCAGCCCTGAAAATGCTTGTCACTGTTCTAGACTAGTGAGTCTTGTTCTCCCTGTCAGTAGGAGTAAGCGACTCTCCCACCTGCATGTTACCGCTAGCAGAACATTCAGTAGGGGAGTGATAATGGAATATGGAGTCTTGTGCTCCTAGGTGGCTGGTTTAAATTCAACCCTGGTTGGTAGTGAGTGAAAAAAATCTTATTTACTGTCTTATTGGCTTTCAGTGACCTGTGTGTGAAACAATTTGTTGGGTTACAGTCCAGTTCCCATGAGTCAGGCATCCATGTCACTGACCCCCATACGGACACTAACTGGTGCCTTAGCTGACAGCCTCAACAGACAGCAATGATTCACAGATTCCGAGGTCTGAAGGGGCCACTGTGATCATCTAGTCTGCTTTCCTGTAGAACACAGGCTAGAGAAAGTCTCCAAAATAATTCAAATCAGCTGCAGAAAACTGACTTCCCTTCTCATCTCAAATAAAGGCTGAGGATATTTCCAGGAGAGGGAAGCTTGCTCAGCCACTCCTGTTCAGGGCACATTTACAGTAGCACTAAACGTGCTTCATTAACAATTTTGTATTTAAAAACCTCAAGGTTCCTTTACTCTTGTTCTTACTGAGCACATGGCTGTGCTGGGAGGATCAGGGAAACCCACAGAAGCCAGTTAGGTAATGAAACCTCTGAAACACCAGCTCAAACTAACGTTTTTGTAAGAGAGGCAAACTTTGAGCTTCCCTGAGAATGTGGAACTTGCAGGGTTATTGTGAGCTCTTTGGATCTTTTAGTTCTGTGTTTGTGCAGCACCTAGTACAATTGGGTCCTGGTCTGGGAGGACTAAGGCTGTGAGGTCCTGCCACAATAGAAATAATGTTCTGTGGCTGCTTGGAGCAGAGGGGATGTGTGGAGAGGGAGAAGAGCTTCCATAATGGTCCATTTGTGAGGACTTGTACTGGGTAGTCAGTAAAACAATCTGTATCGCTGGTTACTGATGAGACTCTTGAAATATATTGAATCTTGCTTCCTTCTTCAGGGTGACACTTTGGCACATCTCATGCTGCCTGTGTATAAATGGCATAAAGGGATCCCCCAGGCTAGCTTAGATTTTGCAATAAGTGTTCTCTCTCTCTCTCTCTCTCCTGTTATTGCTAAGGGTGGAGCAATATGACACAGGCGTGGTAATTGCTCCATAATTAAAGTTGCAGCTGACATTGCATTTTTGGCCTTACCATTAACATCTACCAAGTAACTTACTGTATGAGGTCAATGTGACGATAAGTATAACTTTTCTACCAGACTGGCAGTGAATGGGATGGTGTTTCCATTTCAGAGTTCAAGAAGTCTTAATGTTTTTGCACCACTTTCTAGCAAAAAGCAGAAGAGACACAATTTGGCTTGCTGGACTCCCTTCAATGAGACCTAGTGACCAAATCAATTGAGTTGATTTAAAATCTACTTTCAGGGGATTAGTAAGCTCTTACTCTTGAGTGTGCAGCTTTCAATAGATCGCTGTTGGCCAACCTTGGTCCAGATCATTCAGTGCCTGCTGGAGAACACTTAAGCTTTTCATTTTCTTAAAATGTCTCTAGCCCTTTTTCGTGCCAAGAGAGCTCAAAATGTAACCTAATTGTTAGGAAGACTTGTAAATGGAAACGAGGTTTTCCCACCCAAAGGCACCCATGATGGGGAGACTTCCCACCTTGGCCAGGTGTGTGTGTGTGTGTGTGTGTGTAAAAACTAATGCATCTCCGCTGAATGTCCTGTTTCTTGTACCAGTAGCGTCTTGTTGCTGCTGTGAACCACAGGGAGGGGGTGAGAACTGGGTGTGTGGGGTTGCTTGTTAGGTCTGCAGGAGGGGAGATGGCCCATTGAGCCTTGGGAGGGTTGTTATGCATGCACACTTGAGCTTTAGTTGGCTCTGTAGCCCCCTTGTGAGCCTTTTGATGGGAGACTCCTCTTCATGCTGGATCCTCTGCTAGGTCAGCTGGGCCTATCTCACCTAATCAGTTTGCTGCCATCACAGGCACTTTGGTCTCTCTTGGTCTCCTGAGGACTGAAGTGCTTTGGTCTAATTGAAATCATTGGGCTCAGTATTGCGGTATCTGGGTGAAATGGAATAGCCTGTGCTCTCCAGGTCAGACTGGATGATCTAGTGGTCCCTTCTGGTCTGAAACTATGAAACTCTGCCTGGTCTGTGTTTTATCTTGTGCCTTTAGAAAACAAGCTCTTCAGGACAGGGAGGCTGTCAGTTGGGCACATCAGACCCACGGCACAGTTGGATCTACCTCCAAGGAATTATAGAGGTGAAGCTGCCTGCGTGACTTTACCAGCTAATATTTCCAGTCTTCTGGAGCTAACAATCAATGCATTATCTCCCACTTCTGCATACTAATGTACTGCTGGCTT